ACGTTTTTTGTCCCAACACACGCAGATAAACAAACAGGGAAAACTTCGTCCTTCGCAGTTGCTTCCCTTCATGCGTCCTTCGTAGTTGCTTCCCTTCCGCCCACGTAAGTATTTAGTTCACAGGTGAGTATGTTCGAGTACTCGTTCCTCCGGTGCGTGTATTAACACACAGGTAACACTGTAGGAATGTAGAGCTGACATGTTTATAAAACAGGAGCGAAAATATCAGTCACTGAAGGGTTAGCCTAACTATTTCACGGTCGGTCGGTAGGGAGCCGAACCGGTAGAAAATACCGGTATAATCAGGATGTGCTCCTGTTATTTATCCTTTAATACAAAGAAGTAATGGTTAACAAACTGAATATCCGACTTTAAAGGGTTAATTGAGCTATCCATCATATTTAGGGGTAAACTAACCAGCCCTTGAAGAGATGGGCTAACCACCAAGTCTACAAGAATTAACAGCCAATCCAGCAGACCTTCGAGGGTTAACAATCAAACCTTCAGTATCACAAGGGTTAAAGACTAAGCTGCCAGGTCCTAAAGGTTTAACAACTAAACCATCAGTTCACCGAAAGTTAAAGACTAAACCATCCATCTGGTCCTAAAGGGTTAACAACTAAACAATCAGTTCACCCAGGGTTAAAGATTAAACCATCCATCAGGTCCTAAAGGGTTAACAACTAAAGCGCCAGACCTTCTAGGAATAGCAACCAACCCATCAATCCACAAGGGTTAAATACTAAGCCCCCAGGCACTAAAGGGTTAACAACCAAACCATCAGATCCACAAAGGTTTAAAGACTAAGCCACCAAGTACTAAAGGGTTAACAACCAAACCATTACATCCACAAAGATTAACTCACAAAGATGGTAAAAACAATCCCCTTAACTCTATATCAACAACGTACGCAATAAAAAAAATCAATCAGTTAAATCGAGCAGTCAATAGATTTCACAAACCTTCCCTATTGTTTTCCCACGACCTCAGGTATGTTCCTACCTGTACTCCCACTAAAATACCTGGAAACCACTATCAAGCCTCTGCAGCATAACTTCCAGATATTTTTTTTTCACCTTAAAAAAATTATCGCGCTTCAATGGCGCTGAGGAATTATGTTACGGATTTTCAGAGTTAATTTCCCGGGAAATTTGTAGCTGTGGTCACAATTAGCGCCTGCCGTTGGCACGGGAACCGCTACAGGTAAGTTGGTAGGCACTGGAGTGTGACCACGTGAGGTAAATACTGGAGTGTGACCACATGAGGTAAATATTGGAGTGTGAACACATGAGGTAAATATTGGAGTGTGAACACATGATGTAAATATTGGAGTGTGAACACATGAGGTAAATATTGGAGTGTGAACACGTGAGGTAAATATTGGAGTGTGAACACATGAGGTAAATATTGGAGTGTGACCACATGATGTAAATATTGGAGTGTGAACACATGATGTAAATATTGGAGTGTGAACACATGAGGTAAATATTGGAGTGTGACCACATGAGGTAAATATTGGAGTATGAACACATGAGGTAAATATTGGAGTGTGAACACATGAGGTAAATATTGGAGTGTGACCACATGAGGTAAATATTGGAGTATGAACACATGAGGTAAATATTGGAGTGTGAACACATGAGGTAAATATTGGAGTGTGACCACGTGAGGTAAACATTGGAGTGTGACCACGTGAGGTAAATATTGGAGTGTGACCACGTGAGGTAGTGGAGTGTGACCACATGAGGTAGTGGAGTGTGACCACATGAGGTAGTGGAGTGTGACCATGTGAGGTGAAGATTGGAGTGTGGCTACATGAGGTAAATATTGGAGTGTGACCACATGAGGTAAATATTGGAGTGTGACCACATGAGGTAGTGGAGTGTGACCACATGAGGTAGTGGAGTGTGACCACATGAGGTAGTGGAGTGTGACCATGTGAGATGAACATTGGAGTGTGGCTACATGAGGTAGTGGAGTGTGACCACATGAGGTAGTGGAGTGTGACCACATGAGGTAGTGGAGTGTGACCACATGAGGTAGTGGAGTGTGACCACGTGAGGTAAATATTGGAGTGTGACCACATGAGGTAGTGGAGTGTGACCACATGAGGTAGTGGAGTGTGACCACATGAGGTAGTGGAGTGTGACCATGTGAGGTGAAGATTGGAGTGTGGCTACATGAGGTAAATATTGGAGTGTGAACACATGAGGTAAATATTGGAGTGTGACCACATGATGTAAATATTGGAGTGTGAACACATGAGGTAAACATTGGAGTGTGACCACATGAGGTAAATATTGGAGTGTGACCACGTGAGGTAAATACTGGAGTGTGAACACATGAGGTAAATATTGGAGTGTGACCACATGAGGTAGTGGAGTGTGACCACATGAGGTAGTGGAGTGTGACCACGTGAGGTAAATATTGGAGTGTGACCACATGAGGTAGTGGAGTGTGACCACATGAGGTAGTGGAGTGTGACCACATGAGGTAGTGGAGTGTGACCATGTGAGGTGAAGATTGGAGTGTGGCTACATGAGGTAAATATTGGAGTGTGAACACATGAGGTAAATATTGGAGTGTGACCACATGATGTAAATATTGGAGTGTGAACACATGAGGTAAATATTGGAGTGTGACCACATGAGGTAAATATTGGAGTGTGACCACATGAGGTAGTGGAGTGTGACCACATGAGGTAAATATTGGAGTGTGAACACATGAGGTAAATATTGGAGTGTGAACACATGAGGTAAATATTGGAGTGTGAACACATGAGGTAAATATTGGAGTGTGAACACATGAGGTAAATATTGGAGTGTGAGCACATGAGGTAAATATTGGAGTGTAAACACATGAGGTAAATATTGGAGTGTAAACACATGAGGTAAATATTGGAGTGTAAACACATGAGGTAAACATTGGGGTGTGACCACTTTAGGTACTGGCGAGTGCTCAAATAAGGTACTGGAATGGCCACATGAGAAAGTCAATGGAGTGTGACCACATCAGAAAAAAAACAAGAAAGCGATCTGAAAATACACACGGTACATCGACAATCAACCTAGACTCAAACAGCTGCGTCATTGTGTTCCCGGCGCGTCAGTTATCGCCAACCTGCTGACTCCATGAGGATGGGCGTTTCTTATGTTTTGACCCCCCCCCCCCCCACCTCCGATCATTAACGGTTATACTTATCGAGGTTAAAAAGTAAAGTTCCCCTTCCAAACTTGACGGTCTATGGGGCAAGTGAAGTAGTTTTTGTGACCTCGGCATATGAAGGGATAGTATACCCAGCACTACGCCTATCCAACTTTACTTTCCCTAAAGTGAATCAAGTACCCATCAGAGCTGGATAGACTCAATGACGTTATATAAACTTAAACCCAGATTCGAACTCGAGACTTTCTATTTAGCAGTCGTATGCTCTACCATTCAACCAACGCCACCTAACCTTAATGAGAGGCGGAAATCCCACCCTCTCAGTACGGTTATGTCAAAATTTCACTTCCTACCTCATTAGACGAACACGTGAAGCGAACAAACAGCTGGGGAGAAAAACGTGATGAGCGACCCACTCCACAACACCTGACCGTCTAATTACTAGTCATGTCAGTGTTCATTTGTAAACAGTTTTTTTTTCTTCATTAAAGAAAAAAAAATTAATAGAAGAGGTGGTGTGTTTGTAGCGATGTTGCCATAGCAACCGGCTGAAATGAAGACAGTGGCAGCCCTGACGATATATGTTTCATGTGAAGTGGTGTTTATATCACATTATAAGATGAGGATGTAGCAAGTGTATCGGCGAGATATTAAAGAACGGCGTGGCTGAGTGGTAGGGCACACGACTGCTACCCCTGAAAGTACCAGGTTCAGATCCGGGGCTGGAAAGCGTGCTTGATCGTCGGAATTCTACTCTTTAATTATAGACTGTATAGAATACGACCTCGTTAATTGTGTCTAATGGGTCAAATAAATATAAGGGTGGTACTACCCATGTCCGACATATAAAAATGCGCCATAGTCTAATAGGCCATTGGATGACTGTGCACTACAAAGCCTGGACAGTAAGATAAGAAGATTCAGTTGTTGCCCGTGTATCAGACTACCCCCTCTCCACCCAGCTGATGGACCCAAGGAACAGGACGTAACCTGTATGGACTGGAATCAGTCGTGTCGCAGACAATCCAGCGTTTGTAATCTTATCCACTAAGGGGCGGCACTCCTGTTTGATTTCGGAGTTTTCTAGACGGGTTGCTGTTCCCAGCAAACGAGCCTCATCCGACAATAGACCCATAAGAAAATAGAAGCTGGGTCGTTAGTATTGTTATCTTATGCTTAGTGCAGTTACCCATTGTACCATCTAGTTGGATCGTCCTTGAACAAATGTCAATATCTTTTCATGATTGTCAAGACCACCCCCCGTCCTATTTTTAAAATGCTATAAACTAAAAGATTTTAGTTTAAAAAAAACTATTTCTATATTAATTGAGTTTGTTTTTTTATTAGATACTTTAAAAATTATCATTCATATAAAAAAAGACAGTTAATGAAACCGTCAAAGATCTAACTGCTAGATCTGTTTTAATAGATCTGGATTTAGAGATCTAATTACTTTTCTTTTATAAACGCCAGGAAGTCCTTTATGGAAGGCCCCAAAACGCAATTTGTGTCACGTTTCACTTACAGAACGAGATCTAGATTTCTAGATCTAAAAGTTACTTCCGTCCCAGGGACCGATAAGGCGAGTTTTATAAACTGCACAAAGAATTAGATCTAGATATATTTATAAACCATAAATAGATACATTTAATAATGTGACAAAGAGACAGTTACTTGTCACACATGGCGTAACTATTACCGGTTACAAACCGCCCGTCACGGATGACGAAGCAAGGGTAAGAATCACACCACCCGGTTAAACCGCATACACGTCTATGTGCATGCACAAACAGCACAATCGTTCACACACTAAATAATTGAACAAATGTACTTACTGTTTACGATTAACACAGAAGATCAAAATATCAAAACAAATCGGCTACAATCCAGGATGGTGTTTTCAAAATATCTTTTTACTCATTATAAAGAGTTAAAGTGAATGAATATCTTGAATATCTTCAATGAAATTCCTTCGTTTTCTCAGTTTGAAAACTCACAACAGGAAACGCAGGAAAAAAAATGTTCGCTATGAAATTTTCTTGGTACACAGCAGCTGTCAGAAATACGAGCTTCGTTTCTAGATATATAAAAAAAATCAACTGAAAAATAAAACTCTTCACGATTTATATGCCTAACAACCCGGCGGTCACAAACGCGATAACGCCATTTTTACGAACAGGGTTTCCCCGCGCCTGCCGAGACGGTGTGGAAAAAAACAAGCCGTGCACAAAGTTACGTGAAGTGGGACAAGCGTCATCAACACAGCGGACTAGCGCGAGCGCTGAACGACGCGGCTGATCGTCGCCGGCCAATCAGATCGCTGGAAATATTGGTCGCTTTGGGGAGTGTCGCCGCGCGCCGATACTAAAAAAAAAAAAAAATTGTCCTAGTCCGCCGCGTCCTGTTTACACTGGTTTCAAAATTTTGTCCAAGCGAGGCTACGTGATCTTCTCCATTCAGCAGACGTGCCCTAAGATTTTAGGACGACCCGAATCAGGATATGTTTGTTGTGATTTGTAGATTAAAATCTGCGCTGGAAAAGGGATTGGATCGATAGCATTTAGTCTTATAAGATCAATGTATTAACAAGTGCAGATCAAAATAAATGCAAAGCAAACTGAACTAAGTAAGAACAGCAAATTAACGTGTGTATGTGGGGAGGGGGGAGGGGTGTTGGGTTCGAGTTGCTTATTTTATTGAATGCAGGAACCACGAGTATTGGGGGACCTAAAATAAAATGGCATTGTGATGTAATATGATATAAGAAACTCGTAAAACATTCACAGGCAGGCTATATACTACTTTTGAGAACTTACGAAAAGCTTTTTTTTTCGGGGGCTGGGGTCAGTGTTTGTTTTGTTTTTATGTTAACCCTTATATACAGCTCTTTACACATTGTCAGATAGTCCCCTGATACACACAACTCTAAGACTCTAACACTGTGCTCAGTGGCATTATTAGAATAGCGATGTGTTTAAGGACAGGCCGTGAACACACATCATTGAAAGATTGTAAACATTGCGATAATTTTTTGTGTTGGTTGATTCTTCCACTCCTCAGCAGTGTAGCTATGGTGGAGCGTTAGGGGGGAGGAGGGGTGAAGACGGTGGAGGAGAAAAATGTATGTTTCAATACAGAGTTTCTTCCAGGTATCTTTTCGGGGCGGCCCCCCCCCCCCACTCCCCCTCGAAATTTTTATTCGCCCCCCCCCCCCCGAAAATTTCAAGTGCACCCCCCCCCCCCCCACCCGGAGAAAATAGTCTGGAAGAAACACTGTTTCTAAGCCAATGCATACAAGGTTAGGAATACTAGAACTGTATTGTATTCGTTAAAGATAAATTTATGCATTACTTACAATTTGTTTTGTAATATTTTTGTTGTTTTATCGGGGGGAGGGGGGGGGGAGGGCGTGAGAGAAGGTTGCAGGTACTTCGAGTAGTCTTTACAGGGGATTAGTAAGTAGATTTCAATCAGTTCACTTCCCAAGAACCAGACAGTTCCAACTCGACTTTTAAAAAGTGTTCACATCAAGGCTTTAACGTTAGTTTTCATTAACATTTCTATAGAAAAGCACTTGTTAACATCAAAATGTATGTAATAATGGCCACGAATGGTTGTTGCTAAGATGCATTGATGAATTTAGAGCATAATGGAGTATAAATCTCGAAAAAAAAAAGTTAGAACATTCTGATTCTAGAGAAGAGATTTGTGACAGCGTTTGACGATTCAATATAGGGGGAGGGGGGGGGGGAGTAAATCGGCTGTAATTGTGTTCGTCATATATGGGCAATACCACCCCCCTCCCTCACATACACTCACCCTAAAAGCCTGACAAGAGCCCCCCTCCGCCCCTCCCAGAATAGATGCCTGGAAGAAACTCTGACAGACAGACGTTCATCAATCTGCAATCAACAACCCAACGCTCTCAACAACAACATATCTAATGACACCATCAGCAACACAAAAAAAAAAAAAACAGAAATAAAAACAGAGCGCGTGGCATAAAGCACCACATTACGTCACATCGTTACCATACCACAAGAGATATAGTTACTGACATCGGACGTGGATGTACTTTATGGGTTTCTTTCCGATATGTTTTTTTTTAGGGAAGATGGCTCGGGCTCTGGTTAAGGTATATATTTTGTATATAAATTATATAATATTTTAATTTCGCCTGGAGAGGGGGGGGGTAGACGTGCTTCGAAGGCAGTACCATCCCCCCCCCCCCCCCTGAAAGAAATTCTGGGCGCAGACATTGACTATGGTGTACTGATATATGTCGCACATATCGCAACTACATTGTAAGTTAGAACGACACCTATAAGTATTAGCGGATTGTATTTGAAACAAGCCTATTTAATCCAACTATGGATAATTTTTAACAGAAAAACTGCACAAATTTCAATATACAGTGTGCTTCAGTTAAATTAAAAGTAGGAAAGTTGTAAGGACATACTATATTAATTATATTCATTTAGTTTTTAGCTTAGGTCTGCTTATATACATGCACCTAGAACTTGTAACATGTTTTAGCTAGTTCTCTTTTGAAGTTTGTTTTAAAAATACACTTTCCTTTTAATTTCCACTAAAAAAGAAACTACCGGTGGTTCAAGCAGGTATTTTGGTGTTACTCTATATTAATTTATCCTACCTGTAAGCTTACCTTTAGTGCGATTTCCCCCCCCCCCCAACCCCACGCCACACCTCCTAGTGACGCCATTGGTGTATGTATTTTAACCAATGGGTTTCCCCTGGCCTCCAGGGTTGTTGTGTTTCGGGGATAAACAGACCTTGACCCCGTGACCCGGAAATAAACAAACCCTTCCGTTAGCCGAAACAGCGGGACGGGGAGTGGACAATGAATCAACAGCCGTGGAAAGTTTAAAAGCACGTTCTAATGTTATTGTTAGTTTCGTCCGTTTTATTTTAAGACAAACTTTTGTTGACGTTATTTTGCCTAAACTTTAGGGAACCATTACGTTTTTATTGTATAAAGTAAAGTTTCCATTTCATATGTTAATATCCATAGGGCAGATGAAGTAGAGTTTACCTGTTTCGGTGACCTCGGCCTATGAAGGGACAGTGTGGTCAGCACTATACCACGTCAGTCACATACCCAACAGAGCTGTTTGAAGCCAGTGTTGTTTTTTCGGACTTGTTTCATTTGCGCTTAATTAATATTTTTCCTCAATACCATTTTACAGTTTCGTTTTTCTAAGAATTAGGCAATCCCCATCCCCGAACTATACTGCAGACCTCCCTGTTTGAATGGAAAACGAATTTCACCTACTTGACTAACAACGGTTTAAACCGTGACTATTCGGTCATCAGTACTACTCAGCCGCATTTGATTTCCCCGACTGATGCTGGGTACTCATGTAAAGCTGAGCGGACTCAGTGACGGGTGTTATATTCTGTCAAGAAGCGAAACATCGAGAAAACGTAGGTTAACTTGCACCTGCTCTAACACTCGACCACTTAGATCGTGCTAAAAAAAACAACCCCAGGTTGTCAAGTAGCAACCACCCCACACCCATATGGGCACGACAAAAAGAAATAGGTCAGGTTGTCCTTGAGGGACCCTCCGATATTGTTTACACTGGATAGATCAAAACACATTTTCGTCTATTTTGTTCTGTGTGATAGCTTTAGTAATACAAAAATTCACACAAAACATGAAAAAAAAAGTGAAATTTAATGTTAACAATAAGCCTTAGAAATTTTACAAATGCGGAGAACTTTGAAATATATTTCTGCCATTAAGACTGCAACAAAGAAACTACTGAAAAAAATGTATTTGATAAATATAAACAAATAGAAAGATTACTTAATACTCTTTGTCCTATATACAGTGGCGTAGCAGGGGGGGGTGCGAACCGCACCGGGTGACACCATTTACGGGGGTGACACCACGGCAAAAAAATAGCAAAATGTATAGAGAAAAATTATAATTCCACTTAATTAAGTGATTAATTCGAGTGTTAAATAGTCTTTTAAGAGGTGCAAGTCGAAAGTTTGAGGAGAGGGGGGATGCTAATCGAAAGTTTGAAGGGGGTGGGTGCAAATCGAAAGTTTGAGGGAGGGGGGTGCAAACCGAAAATTGAAAGTTTGTCGCTACGCCTCGGGGGGGGGGGGGGGGCGACACCATTAAGTGCCGCACCGGGTAACACCCGACCTCGCTACGCCACTGCCTATATATAAAATTGAAAATGATTTTGAAAGGTAAATTTTAAAATTATTCTACGTTTAAATTAAGTTTTAGTGTACAGGTCCGATTCGTTTACTCGGTGGCAATATGGTAATATATTTATTTTCTTTCGCTAAATCTAATATTTTATTTGGATTGAGTTCACCCTTCCCCTACTCCCATCACCCCACAGTTGATCCTCCTCCCCTCTTCCCATTCCTTCCCTCCCACTCCACCCTCCTCTCTCCCCCTCATATTCCCAAATTTCAACCTACCCCCACAACATCCACCTATCCAATATGCTTTCTATAAACAGTTGTAAAAAAATTTGGTATCGCGGTCACGGAATAGCCAGTATCGAACAGGCTATATAATCGACAATCTACCCACATTTCAAGTATCGATTTCCACGGGAGGGCTTTATGAAGCTCAACTCTTTCCATAATTAATTTTCAGCCGCCAACCTGGTATAACATGAATCGATTACATTCTGACAGAATTTTTTTTTGTTGTGTTGCAAATGTCTGATGAGAAATTTATAAGTGTATTAAGTGGTTGTGAGATCTTTGGGTTTGAGGGGGGGGGGGGGGGGGGGGGGGGGAATTTGGGGGGGGGGGAGGGGGTGGGAGGGGGGTAAAGAGAATGGTTACAGACCAAAGTTGTCTTATGGTCATCGGTTTAGGTGTTCATTTGAAACATATGCGACTGCATATGGTACATATGTCATGTGTTTATAATAGATCTATGTGTAGGATGTCAAAGAGTATGACAGTAATCTAAGGACGTCCATTTGTTTGACGTCATGTTGTATAAAGTCCAGGTTTAGGAACGTCCATATGTGTGACGTCTATACGTATGACGTCCCTAACGTGAGTTAAGTACCTATCAGAGTTGAGTAAACTCGGGGACGTTCTACTGAATTAAAACCTGGATTCGAACTCGACTTTCGGCGCTCTACCGCTATCCAACGCTATATATTTATACTATTAAATATTTTCCGAGTACCGGAATAGGACAATCAGAGTTTCTTCCAGGCA